GGGGCCCAGAACTGAACCCCCTCACCGAGGGGCGGCCTCCCCAGTGCCGAGCCCAGGGCTCAGATCCCTTCCCTGTCCCTGCTGGCCACGCCAGGGCTGACACCAGCCAGGATGCCGTTGCCCTCCTTGGCCCCCTGGGCACACTCTGGCTCATTCTCAACCTCCTCAGTCCCTCTCTGACCGGCAGCTCTCCAGCCACTCCTCCCCAAAGTCCCTTTCCAATCCCTCCTCCTCCATCTTCAGGGTGAGATTTCCCCAAATGCACAAGGCCTTGAGGAGCACTGGGTGGGTTTTAGGGTCCCTCCTGGCTGCAGGGAGGGTATCCCCCCCGAGGTATGGTGAAGCCAGGCGGTATCTCTGCCCCCAGGTGTGTGCCGGAACCTGAAGTCCATCGTCGTGCAGGTGGGCATTGTGGACTACTTCAAGGAGCCCCACAGCCCTGAAGCCAAGAAGATGTTTGAAGAAATGGTGAACAAACTCCAGGTAAAAGATGCCGTTCCCAGGTCACCCATGTGTCATCAGTCTCATCTCCCCACGGGGTCTGAGGACAAATTCTTGCCAACCACTGATGTTCCTCAGTAGAGAACATTTTACATTTTGTAGGGATATCCTGAAGGCTCCCAATCCTTCAGGCACACCCATCCCAAAGCCTGAAACAAGATCTAACGCGCTGCGATTCCTTCCCACTGCTTTAACCAGGACTGCTTCTCTGTGGGTCTCTTCCCCGGGGACAGAAAAGGGCTGTTGTCTCCTTCACGGGGCCACTTACTGAACACTGTGAAGCAGTTTAAAATCCACCCGCGAAAGCAGAGACAGGGTTAATTTTAGTTAAGCCAAGCTGCAGGCCTTGCTTAGCTTGTGATGTTCAGCAGGGCTTGGGCTGTCCTTGATCTCTTTGAGGTCTCCAAGGCAGACTTCTCCATCCGTGTCCAAGGGAAAAAAATAGGTTCTTCCATTTCACTTCACCCTCTGGTTGACTTCACCCTGCAGCAGGTTGGGCTCCCGTGGGGGCGTAAGGTGAAACTCCCGGGAGATGCAAAGCAGGACTTGGGGATGGAGGCTCCTGTGGTTCCTGCTCCACCGACAAGCCCTGGTGGGTGGCGAGACAGACCCACCTCCACCCCCAGGCTGGGGGTCACCTCCAGAGAAGAGCCATTTCCGAAGGACTTTCCTCGCGTGGCCGCCCACCGCTGTGCCTCACAAACCCCACCTGCCCCAAACTACGGCCGACCTCTGGAAATGTTTTTAAGCAAGCAGAAAGCAAACCCAGAACTAGCTTCAAGGGATGGGACTGAGAGGTGTCAAACCAGTCCTGCAAGGAAGCAAAATCCCTGTGGGATGTGGTGTGGGGGGGTGGGACCGGGGTGTGCCCCTTCCCATGGTGGGGATTTGAGATGTCCTCTCCTCTCTCTTGCTCAACCTGTGGGGCAGTGTTGCATTGAAGGTGATGAAATCATGTGGTAAAAGATAAATCCCCTTGCATTCTAGCCGGTGCTCGGAGATGAGAGGGGCTGGGGGTGGCTGGATTTATCTCTTAATAGCTGTGCTAATTAGGGCCCTAACTACAGGCCTGACACCAGATGCACAAGCAGCCTGTACGCTGTAAATCTGGTTGCATTCAAGAGAAGCCTTCAGGTTCACGGTTTATTCTTATGCAACACTTACAGATTCATTAAGACTGCCTTCAATAAATGCACAAACTGCAGTTGGCTCTGTAGCACTCCACACAAAAACTATGGCAATCGCACACATTAAATTCCTGGGTAATCACTCAGCATAGCCGAGGGTTCAAAATTTACCAAAAGGTGTCCCATCTGGGGAGAAAAACAAACCCTCCAATTTGGTGTCGGGTTATCATCCCTCTGAGTTAGACACAAGCTCGGGGTAGTATTTATCTCGGCGGGTATGTGTGAGTAGGTGGGACTGTGGTCAGTAAGGACACAGCACATTCCTTGGTGCAAGGGGTGAGCTGTTTTTCGTGGGAGAAGAGGGAGAGTGAGAGAAAAGGTGGCAGAGTAGTGCAAAACCATCCTTGAGAGAAGGGGAAGAGCAGGGGATAAATCTGTCCTGGGGATAAGTGAGGGAAATCGCACATTTCCAACAGGCAGCAAGACTGCCAGGTCCTGCACCAACCGCGCTCTCTGCTCCTCTTCTAGGCCCTGAGGAAGAGACCCGGCTTCTCCAAGATTTTACACATCAAAGTGGAAGGAGGCTGTTAGACCTTCAGGGAAGCACAAAGCACATTCCCTCCTCGGCCCGGCGGAGCCAGAAGCCCCGCGAAACCAAACCCACCATCCGCCGCTCATCCGCTGCCGGACCTGGAGCACGGAGACGCTGGTCCATGCACAAAAAAAAAACAACAAAAACAAAAACCAACCCAAACTCTTGCAGGCCTTAGTGACTGGCAGCCGGCGCTCGTCCCCGGGGCCAGCTCGCGGGCGAGAAGGTGCTACTTAAGGAAATTTTTCGGCTGCCCAAAGAGGCAGAGCTACGCTCTTTCCCGGAATGGAAGATGGCTTTGAACCCCCCACGGCTGCTCGTTGCCAAGGATCCTTGTTTGGGGAATATCTTTTTATTTTCTTCAAACTCTCTGGGGGGTTTTTTGGCCGTTGGATGGTGTGGGAGATAAGGATGGCTCAGCCTGTCCCTGTGGGCTCTCTGCAGAGCGCTGGGCTCGGCGTCGCCGTGTGACCGTCCCCATCCTCTCCGTGGGCTGGTGGAGGTGGGGTGGGAAGAGGCTGTTCCTCCAGAAGAAACAGTGCCCAGCCCTCCTGCAGGGTTTTCGCTCGTTTGCATTTCATTTGTTTTAACAGAGGGGCACCCAAGCCTGGGTAACTACCGCCCAGAAACCAGCAGCCACAACAGCACAAGCCCAGATGGCAGAGCTGCATCTCGGGGGGGCTGTAAGAGCCAGAAGGCACCAGGAGAGACAGTCGCTCTTCCAGAGGTTTCCAGCCTCACCTCCTCTCCACCCAAAACCTTCCTGCCAAGGCAATAAAGCATCTCCAAAATCCTCGTCCACCAGGAAACACGGGTCATGCTTCTGTCCTCACCACCATCCACCACCCGCTCAGGCTTCTTCCGGAGCGAGCTGTCCCACGCCGAGAGGGACTGGCATGGGACACCCACGTTTGCCATCTCATCGCCATCCTGAGCAGCCTGAGGGAGAAACCCTGGCCAAACTGTCTTGAAATCCAAAGCCGCTGGTAAAAGCACCAACCTAACTGCCCTGGTAGATCCCTTCTCTATGGCCATGGCTGCTTTTTTAATTCTGCTTTGTTTCTTCTGGCTGTCTTCTGCCTGCAAGACATCATCCCTCCCTGCCCCCCAAAAAAAAAACAACAACCACCCAACCTTCTTTTTTTCCAAAGGAAAAGGCTTTTGAAAGGCATCCAGCAGGGTCAAGCGTCTCCACCCTGGGGAGAAGGTGCCAGGAGGTGCCCACGCCGTGGGGGACACCCATCACAGCACTGCCAGCAGCAGGGACACACAGGCCTTAACGGCAGCCCCCTGCTACCCCCAAGCCCCACCCAGGTGTGCTTGGACCCAGCAGGCTCAGCTGAGAGGAACCGACTGGGAAAAGCAGATTTTGGGGTTTTGGCCTCTTCTCTGGACCATCATTGGAATGTTTGGGGGGCTGCTGGCCAGCGCAGCTGCAAGGTGACAGCCCTTCCTGGGGCATCTCCCCTTCCTCCGGCCCTCCCGGAGTGATGGGCTGCCACGGAGCATCCCCCCGGGGGGAAGGAGGCTGCAGCCCTGTCCTGGTACCCCCTTCCTCACCTACGGCATGAGAGCTACAGACCTCGGAGCTGTGGGCTCCCCACGTGCCGACAGCCCACGAGGGGACCCCGACAGAAAAATCGATTCCAAATCACTGAAGTTGGAGGCAGCTCCTGGGTCTCCAACCCCAGAAAGCACCTCAGGAGACCATTTCATCCACCCCTCATCCTGTCTACACTGTCTCCTCTGAAACAGGGTAGGGTTTTTTGGCCATAACCCCCGTCTGAAGCACCTCTGTTCCTCTGTTGACTGCAGCTTTCCAGGAGAAGGCTGTTCCCTGTATGCACAAAATGGGGAAGCTCAAAAAAAAAAAAAAAAAAGCCTGCAAGAAACCACCATGTCCCACCATAACCCCCACAGGCACCGGGGCCGAGCTCCCCGCTGTGCCCACCGCGGGTTTACCTCCACCCCGGGGAGGCTGGGACACACGTAATCCAGGGGCAAGAGGAGCAAGGGATGCCCCGACCAGCAAAAAAAAAACACCCAGCAAAGGTAAACCGCCCCCCCGGGGACCACCCAGCCACCATCTGTGGTCCCAGTGGAGATGTCACCATCTGAAACGGCGCAGAGACTTGCGAAATTCCCTTAACAAAAAGAAAAACAAAGTAAGTATTTATTTCTATAAAGAAAAGAAGGAAAAAAAAAAAAGATTTTAAAGGAAAATTATATACTCAGCATGTTTATACACTCTATGCTTAAAGACTATCGTGTTGGAGAGTCATGTCCGAAGACTGAAGGTGGCTGCTCTGAGTTTGCTGCGTGCTCGTGCCCGGCCCCTCTGGGCCACGGGCAGAGCGAAAATGGGGTGCTAGAAAGTGGGGGGAGATGTTGAGGACTCTTGGAGAAACCTCCTGCACTCGCCAGCGAGGCCGGAGCGGCCGCTGGTGGCCACGGTGGCCTGGAGTGTGGGTGGGTGAGCGATGTCCCCGTCCCCCCGCTGCTGCGAGGGTTTAAGTCACAGCAGGATGAGCTCACCCGAATTTGTTGCTTCGGGGTGTCACCAAGACCAAACCATCTGCCTCCCCTTGGGGCGTTCCCAAAAAAACCCCGACTTCTGGCTTAGCAAAGTCATGTTTTTAGAAAAATCCCGTCATGACATGAGACCTTGAGAAGGTTCAAGGAGTGGAAGATGAAAAGTGGGTTTTTTTTCCCCCCCGTTTTGCTTGATGCCTGGGTTTGGACGGGTCCCTTCTTCCTCCTCCTCAGCTGGGGATGAAGGAGGCTGGCACAGCCCTGGTGATAACAAGAGCCCTGCGTCTCCCTGGCCCTAATTGCTCAGGTTGTTAATGGCAACGAGCTCATTAACGGATTCATATTCCACTGAAATGTCACATTGATGGTTTCCCTGCTGCTCTCCCTCCCCATCCTGCCAGTGCGTGGCCCCCGTTGGCTCCCCCACAAACCCCTATCGCACAACCCCCATCCCTACGGGGTGCTCGAGCCACGTTGCCTGTTGGCTGCAGGATTCCCTGCCAGTGGTCACAGGGGTTCCAACCCCATTTCCTCTGGAAACAAGAGATGCACAGAAATACCAAATTCCCCAGGAACACCCTGAAATCATGCAGCGTATGCGGGTGTTGGTAGGGAAGGGACAGCTGCAGTGGGAGCTCAATCCCATATGAGACCCTAAAGAAGCCCAGGTTAGCTCCATCCAAGGTTTTTAAACCTCTTTATCAAGCAAGTGGCAAGAAAAAAATATCCCACCTCTCACTGTGTGTCACAGTCCCAGCTCCCACCCAAGGCACAGCCACAGCTGGGTATTGGACAGTTTGTTTGGATTTTCAAAAAGGCTCCAAATTTGGTTAAAACAGACCAAAAAAAAAAAAAAACCCCACAAAAAGTGCTGATAAAGGCTCTTAAAGCAGTTGAACAACATTTTTCTCTCAGCTCTTAGAGGAGCCCACCCCAGGAGCTGGTGCATGGCTTCAGCCACTTATTTTGGGTTGAAAAGCTGCAGGTTGGGGTAGAGAAAAAGCATTTGGGAATTGGTGCCAAATGACAAAATGCTTTAAAAAAAAAAAAAAAAAAAAAAAAAA